AAAACAGAATATCAGGACCAGTGCTCAGGGGAACAGTTCATTCTGCTAAAACTTTTAAACATCAAGGAGCAGCATCTATTGTAAGTGATTTTATCAGCATCTGAAATAGCTTAAAAACCTTTTGACTTTAACCACTTGAAGACCAGGTGTTTACACCCCCTTCCTAGCCAGGCCATTTTTCGGTATTCAGCGCATGTTTACATGCGTGTATATATGGGTGGGGACTTTAAAAAAATATATATTCGTTTTCATGTGTGACTTTACATTTTTTTTTTGCAACTTTAATGTTATTTCCTATTTTTTTTTCCCACTTAATTTTATTGTTATCACATAGGGGGCCAAGAAATCCCCTATGTCAGTGCTCCCCAACCTTTTTATCGCCGCATCCCCACACGCCGGTCGGGCGCTCTCTCCTCTCTCTGCAGGAGAGGACATAGGAAGAGGCGGAAGTAGTTCCGCCAGCACGAGAGGGAGAAGCCACGCCAGCGGCCAGAGGACCCGTCGCGCGGCTTCTCTCCTCTCTGACGGAGGAGGGCTGCGGTGCGGAGGCTGCGGCGGAATTGCCGCCTGGTACAGGAACACGGACCGGTACCGTGACGCGGCCCGGGGGTTGGGGACCACTGCTCTTTGTGATAGCAAAGAGGATGTGCCAGGTCCTCTTTATGGAGACATCAGGGGTCTCCAAGACCCCTAATGTCACCTAGGGACCCCCAAAGAAGCTGATGAGATGTGCTTTATCAGCTTCTCTCCAGCGTCTGAAGCTGGAGAGTGACAACGGAGAGGGGACCGGAGGTAGATTGTGTACCGATTTCCCTCTGATCCCCTGTCACAGAGCCACTAAAGGCAGCGGATTGCTTGTATGTAAATAGGCATCGCTGCCTCTTTTTAAATTTGGGTAGGTTCCCGCTCCCGCGCGCGAGTGGGCATGCCTTGCGGGCCGTTTAAATACACCCGCTCAGATCTACAACGGCCAGCCAGGACGTGGTTCATATCACTTTACGTGAAGCCATATCTTTTATCTTGTAGCGGGAAAGCCCGGTGATACGAGAGAGGAAGGGCCAGCAGAACCGCACCTCACTGAGCAATCTATAATACCTGTTAGCACAGCATATTTATCTTATTGCATAGTAGCGAAAACTGTAAAACAAGCTATACATAGAGACAACAAACATTGTCACACCATGACACAAAAAGATCAGTGAAGGATTGCAAGCCAATGACATTACACAGAGGTGCCAGGTTACTGAGTAACTAGCAAGATTATACTACGTGTTTGGTAAGGAGCATACCCTTCGACTTTGTAGTCATTCTTTATACATTCTATCACCATTATAACATAAATCAAACTTACTAATTGCAGAGCAAATACGCATTTAACTAAGCGGGAAAGCATATTTTGCTTCCGAACACGATCGCGGCTAGAACAGCCGCTCGTCTTGTATCGCACAAAAAAGGCACACGTACCTTTTTTCTGCGATTGCCGCGTGGATGTCACCCCATTGAATTAAATGGGGCATTAGATCCTTGGTTCTCAACTGGTGAGTTGTAACTCAGAAGTGGGTCGCAACCCCATGTTCAGTGGGTCGCCACATGCCTTCCACTTTTCTAAGTGAGACACTCCTCAGCCTCCCCCTGGCACAGCACTGCCAGTTCACGTGCCGAGCAGCCATTCAAAATATGCTGCCCGGTGCCGAGTATCAGCTTGAGGTCTGGTGGGAGTATGGCCATAAGGGAGCTCCATCCATACGTGCATTGCTTACAGCTCCTTCACATGTCCTGTAGAGGTGCCTGGACCGGAGTGACGTCACATTCCGGCTCCTGGCACCTCTACAGTCAGGATACAGTCCATATACCCATCGCACTCAGAACCAGAATTCCAGAATTGTAAAGTGGGTCCCGCGGCTGTCGACGGATGGCAACCGTCTAAATACCAAGAAGAAATATAGACACCGGCACTCTGATGCCAAATCAGATACGTCTATTTATTGACATATAAGAGGCACAGCATATTACACTCAGTGCAACGTTTCGGGGTCTCAAAGGACTGAAATGAATGTGACCACCGCACCCCCTCCAGCCACAGAACGTTAGGAGGGTTTGATTAAGAGGTCCAGTGTGTTAATGCCACGGGGCTGTGAGATGAACGCACCGGATGGAGTGAACGGACCCTGAAAACGTTATTCAGTTGGCCACACACCAGTAGAACTTTGTTCAAAAAGAATTGGTTTTGGAACATTCATTTGAATTTCTAATAGTTAATGGGGTCGAATCGATGATCATTTTGATGATCGAAAGAAATCGAATGGATTATTTTTCTTGAAGGAACAAAAGTTCTGGTGACGTATTTCGTGTAATGTGCGTACAAAAATCTACCATCCAGCTTCTGTGTGTCCTCATTCACAGAACCATCTCCCTCTGGTACAGAGTTACCAATTATTGTCACCATTGCACGTCCGCTCTGCTTCACAATGATACATTGTTCTCTCCTTACTCACGACCCGTTCACACTACTCCACGCACTAACATTGATTTTAGCATGTGGCCTAGTGTCTGTGCATAGTGGCGCTAGGGGGAGGGGGGAGGGCAGGCAGTGCCGTGCGTTTTTACTATTCAAGGCACTATTAACTTTTTTTTCCTTTCACTTTTATTGTAATGACACAGCGGACTTTTCATCCATTTCTACAGCAAGCACCTGAATAGAGACTTGTGGAATGGAAAAATGCAGGCATGCTGCACCTCTCTGTTCTGCACCTTTCTACTTCACACCCCTCTGCTCTGCATCACTCTGCTCCACACCTTTCTACGCCATACCCCTCATCTCCGCTCCTCTCTGCCCTGCACCTTTCCATGCCATACCCCTCTGCTCCGCTCCTCTCTGCTCTGCACCCCTCTGCCCTGCACGTTTCTACTCCATACCCCTCAGCTCCGCTCCTCTCTGCTCTGCACCCCTCTGCCCTGCACCTTTCTACTCCATACCCCTCTGCTCCGCTCCTCTCTGCTCTGCACCCCTCTGCCCTGCACCTTTCTATGCCATACCCCTCTGCTCCGCCCTGCACTCCTCTGCCCTGCACCTTTCTACTCCATACCCCTCTGCTCCGCTCTGCACCCCTCTGCCCTGCACCTTTCTACTCCATACCCCTCTGCTCCGCTCCTCTCTGCTCTGCACCCCTCTGCCCTGCACCTTTCTACTCCATACCCCTCTGCTCCGCTCATTTTCATCCATTTCTACAGCAAGCACCTGAATAGAGACTTGTGGAATGGAAAAATGCAGGCATGCTGCACCTCTCTGTTCTGCACCTTTCTACTTCACACCCCTCTGCTCTGCATCACTCTGCTCCACACCTTTCTACGCCATACCCCTCATCTCCGCTCTGCTCTGCCCTGCACCTTTCCATGCCATACCCCTCCGCTCCGCTCTGCACTGCACCCCTCTGCCCTGCACCTTTCTACTCCATACCCCTCTGCTCCGCTCCTCTCTGCTCTGCACCCCTCTGCCCTGCACCTTTCTACTCCATACCCCTCTGCTCTGCACCCCTCTGCCCTGCACCTTTCTATGACATACCCCTCTGCTCCGCTCTGCACTGCACCCCTCTGCCCTGCACCTTTCTATGCCATACCCCTCTGCTCCGCTCCTCTCTGCTCTGCACCCCTCTACTAGATACCCCTCTGCACCTTTCTACTCCATACCCCTCTGTTCTGCACCTTTCTTCTCCACACCCCTCTGTTCTGCATTACTCTGCACCTTTCTACTCTGCACCCCTCTACTTTGCACCTTTCTACTCCACACCCTCTGCACCTTTCTTCTCCGCCCCCCTCTGCCCTGCACCTCTCTCCACACCCCTCTCCTCTGCACCTTTCTACACCGCACCTCTCTGTCCTGCACCCCTCTTTTCCGTACCTTTCCATTCTGCACCTCTCTGTTCCACACCTTTCTACTCCACACCCCTCTGCTGTGCTCCTTTCTACACTACACCTTTCTGCTCCGTTGCAGTGTGAACAGCTCACATAGAAATCAATTCTATGTGAGCGCCGAGTTCCCCGCATAGTTATTTCGTACATTCCTTAGTCCGCATTCACACCTGCATGTTCGGTAGACATGTGCCAAAGTGCACGTTTTCATGCGCGTTTGGCAGGCGTTGCCGGAAACGTGGCAAAACACGCAACGCACTTGCATTGTCATTCATTTCTAATGGCACCCCAAATGCGTTAAGGAAAAATGCGGGACACGTGTTACAAAATCTGCAACATGAGCTTTTTTGCTGCGTTTGTCAAGCGTTCAGGCTCTATTGAACTCAATGGGGGCGCGCAGCACACGAACATGACATAACGCGCAGGTGTGAACGCTGGCTAAAACATGGAGCGCCTACACCAAGCCATGAATAACAATTTTGTTAGTGAATTGACTTTTTTATAAACTTTCACATTTAGCAAAGCATCATTCATAGTGGGAAATATCGTGCTCGAGTGGGATCTATTTACATTGTTTTGCTGAATCGCCCCCTCTAGCTAACACAGTATAATGCCCTGCTACACACAGACACATGCAGAGATTCCACTGACCAGTGGCAGCAGCCATTGCTATTAGTATTTTATTCCCCTTGAACCCATGCATTGCAGAATGAGGAGCGGTCCCTCTGTACACGTGACCACAGACCCCCTGGGAAGAAAGATAGCAGAGCTCCGCCCTCTCAGGAATGCCGATGAAGATGGGGCGGGGCCACGAAGAGCATAGAGGGCGGGGCTATACTTTGATAGAACACCGTCCATTCGTCGTTCAGAGTATAGGGGCGTGGTCATAAGTTGTGACATACCGCCCACCCCTAGTTGAGCGAAGAGGGAGCGGGGCCACGCCTTGCAATACACCGCCCAGCCATAATTCAGCGCAAAGGGGGCGTGGCTACAACTTGCTGTGCACCGCTCAGCCATAATTCAGCGCAGAGGGAGCGAGGCCACGCCTTGTGGTCCAGCGCACACCCCTCGTTGAGAGCACAGGGGGCGGGGCCACAGCTTGCTGTTTATCTGGGTGAAGTCACCGGTGTGTACACCCAGTCTACAGGTTCAGCTCTGCAGTTGCACTGATGGCTTATCCAGGAGGAGGGGGCTACTACCCGGCCGGTGGGGTGAGTTTCATCACTGTGGGATCCGGGAATAAAGCACTGACACATTCGTGCACTGTACAGTGGTCCAGGGGGGATTGTAGCCTGGTTCTATGCAGTGTCCTCTCCTACCTGTATGTGTGTAGCATGCAGAGTGTCATGTTGGGATGCTTTGTGATGGTTTTGCCAATTTACAAAGTGGTGGAATTGTGCAAAGAACAGTTTGCAGAGCACAGACAAGCGGACCTGTCATGTGACAGTGTCAGGTCTGTGTGGACAGTCAGATACCTGCTGGTATAAAGTGCTCAGGGAGGACATCAGCCCCTCTGTGACCAAAATACAACTTCAAAAGTCCAAATTTAAAGCAGCCGCTTGCTGTGAGAACGTGGAGCACTCAATTCACACCAATGCATGTTGCAGTGTGCAGTGTGCACGTTTGATGTGTTTTTTTTTTTTTTTTCCTTTTTAAAAAAAAACAAACTTTATTTAAATTACACTTTATTTAGTGCTGTGATGTAAAGTTTTTTTTTTTTTTTTTCCATGTCAACATGCTGCGTTGCTGTAATTGCAGCAATAGGACATAAAGCAAAGTTGCCTTCTTTATTGGTTGAGCATCACTGCCCAGTGCCACCCAACAGGGCTGACGTGGATGAGCCCTAACTAACAGTGCAGCAAGGAACTAGGAGTGTGTAGCTGTGCGTGTTCCTAGTTCTTAGACCCGCCGCTGTCAATCAGAAATATTAGTCCTATAATTATTGTCAAGTTAGCTGACATTGCAAACTTGATCTGGTGGCCTGGGCTTCAAAAAAATGTGGTTAGGAAGGGTTAATCGAACCCAATGGGGCTGGTGTAAATACGGCCCCAGATAACCTTGGAGCAGAGATCTAGTGCATGTTCCTGGTTCTGAGACCTGCTGTCAATCCAGATATATTTAATACTATATATTATATACATGGAATATATGTGAACTGATGCTGCAAACCTGGTCTGGGGG